CTAACGTTTCAAGCCATCGTGCTGTCTGGCCTTCTGGTTCTTTGAAATTCATCAGCCATCGAAGTGATACATGGTCCGTCCGTTTTTTTGAAGTATTTCAGTGACTTTGAGTTACTGAGTGAACTGATGCACCAAAAGTCAACTGTACCTGTTTTTGCTAGTAAAACAGGATACACAATAGAAAATGTTTTGAAGCAGTAACTGTGTCTAAAGATACGCTCCAAATCGTCATCTCTTATTATCAATATATCATCTGTAATTATTGTTTTCCAAAGTTTTGAATTTCTTTGTATGATATTATGGAACCTCCTATGCAGATTTCCTACTGTCCTTATTAGCTCTATCAGATCAATATAGCTGAATATCAGTAGTAGTATATAGTCAGGAAGATCTTCAAGTTCTGGAACAAAGTATGAATCAAGTATTAATTGTATAAAGACCAATATATTACTTTTTCAAATATGGTACTTATTTGGTTCCACATTGTGATAGGTGCTAATTGCTGTAATGAACGATGTTTATGAATTGTCTTATCAAATTAATAAGTAATATCATTAGATGAAAGCAGTTGGAACCTCTATAACACCTTTTATTGGCAAAATACTGATCAAAATATAGGAAAATAGTCAAAAACACAACATAAAACAAAAAGTTTACCTCTAGCCATAGCATCCATTACTATTAGTCACATGATCAAAGTTATGCAATCTGATTGGCTCTGCTACCCAAACAGATATGATAAGGTGGGCCTAAAAAAGTTTTCCTCATTTCGCACTTATAACAATGTGGCACTGGATATCTCCAAAAGGAGACGTGAAAAATTGAGAAAGATAGTATACTCATCTCAAAACCTGAAAAAATGAGTTACAACAATGTGGAAATAATGGGACGATCAGTTAGTTTGGATTGTTGGTTCAGGCAATGTTGTATCATCGACTAGCCTTTCTTATCATCCGTATGATGCAACCATTGATACTACACACTAGGTATTAGTGGTTATCACTACATGACATTGTAGCTGGTAGCTAGAAAACTGGCTTTGAAAAGCTAACCACCTCTGATCCTTTTGTCCCAATGGAATGGCCACCTTTCCTGAAACAAAAGAACCTCTACTTACTTCACATAGTCATTTAAATGTTTTGGTCATTGGCATAGTCTCTTACTAAGATTGTCTGTGGAACCTGAAGCTTAAATGGGATCTTTAGTAGTACTTGCAGGCTCCAGTGGTTTGTCTGCACCTACAATAGCAGCCTCTTTAGCTGTGGTCGAAAGACTCGCTGAATCAACATCCAAGTCACCCCACTCAGGTAGACAACTTTAAGATTTTGGCACAATGACCTGCCATGTGGTAACAGACCCATCAAACCATTTTAGCTGCAATATCCCCTGATGAATTTGCAAACAGTCCTATTGGGACAGAAGGTGTTTCAATTCAGGAGATGCTTAAACAAATTTCACCTAAGGGGGTCCACTGTTTAGCCATTTGACCAAGGAAGCAAGCAATGGATCTTCATCCACTGCAGTTTAGTACTCTTCCAAAGAAACACAACTCATCCAGTTAAACCCGGTGAGGGGTTCTGGTTCAGGTGGTGAACTACTGCAGGCCGTCCAACTGTCCCGCAATTTGCGTATTTGTCACGGCATATGCTGGAAAATTTGAAGTCACGCCAGTTTTTTTGTGTGACAGAATATAACACACAAATACGCATTTTACCTGATAATTGTCAAAGAAAATTTTCAAAAAAATGATCGCCGATACAGCACAAAACCAAACGGTGAAAACGGCCAATACTGTATATGTCACGCATTTTAGTTTAAATATTCCGTACCATGTTGAGCACTAGATGTACACTACATTAGCTTTAGTGTTTCCTGACTACCAGTCAATGAATCAGGTTTGGGTGAAGCTGATTCAGGCAATTTCAAAGATGACACCCTCCCATCTCCTCTTGTCGATTGCAGTGCTTGCAATCAACGCAAGGTCTCCAAGAGAGAGCATCAGTATTGATCTGTTATGATTTTGAAGGCACTTCCATATAAGAAGTGGTATTAGGGCTTCACTGACTAATTGCCAAAAGTTCCTTACGACTGACACAGTATTGTCAATGGCATGGTTCAGGGAGGAGGAATAAAAATCAACAGAACGCTCATCACCATTGTGATACTCCACAATAGTAAGACCCCAGTCCTACAAAAGCTTGCACATCCACCTCCTGGCATAAGTGTGGACAATTCACATTTGAAATGTGTGGACAAAGCCCGGCAAAATGGTATTGTATTGATACCTCGCTTATTAAAACAATATTCTTTGTATATTCCTAACGCACTATGTATATTTGCTATATCTACTACCAAATGAGAGTTAACACTTAGTAAGAACATAAAAATTGTGCAAAAACCCATAAATTGTTGAGATATGTAAGTTAAAGTTGCAAAACCATGTTAGTTTTTTGAAAATCAGATTGTTCCACTGCTAGTGGGGTTATCTCACATTTTTTAAAATTTAATATGAGTAAGATGTGTAAAGCTTATCATCATACATCACTAACATTTGAAATCATTACTGTATATCCCTTCAAACATATTTTAGTCCAGCTAATATACATTTTTTAATGCATTTATTTGTGTGGACAATGTAGGGATGCAATATTACATTGTTGACAATTGAATCTTGTTACTAGTATGTAAGAACGTATGAATAGCAATGATTTTAAACATTTTCAACCCATGTTTGCTGTCCACAGGGCTATCCATTGAATTGTTGGTTAAAGATGTAATAAAATGGCAATCATAATATGTTCTTAGCTTGTATTTATAGCAAAACTCACAACTAGATTTTGGACCATTTCCCCACAAAAATATTTTGAAGAGGAACTATTCATCTGAAATATTGTTATTTTGTGTACTTTTTGGAGTCATGTCACCATCACGCCTAACCATCATGTAAACAGGCGTCACCATTCAGCTTCAAAAAATACAGTTTTCTATACAGTGACAAAAATTAACTGATTTTAAGCAAAATCTATGATGAGGGTTTAAACGATTCCTTAGAATAAGTATGCCATTGAATTAGACTCATGTAATGTCAATAAAGAGATTCGTGTGATGTCACTTAACAATTTAACAGCAAACACTGAACAGTCCATGCAAAGAGTAATGGCTAGAACACGAGAGGTACAAAAGTCTAGAATTTCGAGATGACAAAATTCTTGGCCAAGAAAATCAAAGTATCAACCTTATCACGACTCAATCTGAACGTTGAGCTGTGACCACATCTCCAGCTGTGGAGAAAACACGCTCGTTGGGGACAAATGTTGCTGGTATATACAACCTTGTTGATGCTAGATTTGCTAGATTCGGATAGATTTTCTCATTTTATCAGTTGCCAACAGAAGTTGTATTCCACTGTGAATTTCATCCTGCTCCTCTCCTCAGCTGGGGCAATGCCTTGAAGCGTTGGTCCAAGACTGAGCACTCCCATAGAAACTTGTGAATTTCTGGCTTTTAATACCTTATATAAATATCAGTCAAAATGGTGTGCTTCAAATCTCGAACCATATGGCTATCATCAGGTTTCTCCTCCATTTTTTATTATGAGAATGCTTTGGAAGGGCAATACAAGTGAGACTGTTGGATAATATTTTACGCAGAGTGTATTTGTAATGTGATGGATTGTCTCAAGAACATCAATCAGTAAATCCATTTTGGTAACATCTTCATCATTGAATGTGATAAGATCCTTTACATGTTTACGCACTTCTTTAGTGGCGAGAGTGGCAGCCACAGCTACCTGTTGCTCAGTTGGTCCAAGACTGAGCACTCCCATAGAAACTTGTGAATTTCTGGCTTTTAATACCTTATATAAATATCAGTCAAAATGGTGTGCTTCAAATCTCGAACCATATGGCTATCATCAGGTTTCTCCTCCATTTTTTATTATGAGAATGCTTTGGAAGGGCAATACAAGTGAGACTGTTGGATAATATTTTACGCAGAGTGTATTTGTAATGTGATGGATTGTCTCAAGAACATCAATCAGTAAATCCATTTTGGTAACATCTTCATCATTGAATGTGATAAGATCCTTTACATTTTTACGCACTTCTTTAGTGGCGAGAGTGGCAGCCACAGCTACCTGTTGCTCAATATCTGTAGGGCGTGTTGTGGTACTTCTAGCTTTTGTTGTTGCAGTTTTAATACATTAGTGGGAGACCTGTGAAAGAAACTATAACAATGCTCCTCACTTTGGCTGTAAGTCTTACAACGGAAGGCACGGCAAGCTCACGCTTTGAACACAAATTAACTGTGTGTGCGAAGCTATCCAAACTAACGTCAAGTCAAGGTTCATATTGGCAGCATTTTCAGTTGTCCTTCTTAAAGGTACTGAACCTTTGTGCAATTGCCATGCATCCACTACATTAGCAAGATTACGGTCTAAGTTTTCTCCAGTGTGGGGACCATCGCATGGATGAGTTTGAAGAACTCTACTTTCAAGTTTCCAGTTATGGGGAAAGTGGGCTGTGAAAGTCTCATACCCAATGACAGCCTTAGATGTCCAGCCATCTGTTGTTAATGCGATGGACTTAGCATGAGCAATTTCACGTTCAACTTTCATCCTGGTTTTAGCATGGGGTTTCAATTAGCTAGTACCAGTGCCATTATTGAATTGTGTACTTTTACTACATTTTAGCACACAAACAAAAACATAATTACACACAGGCACATAGTCTAACATTCCAAAACTGATGATGATAATTTATTGATTACACCTAGACATGCTAAACTTTCAACATATGCTTTGTAGCCCAGATGAGCCCCTGGCTGTATATCAATCCATTCATTTGCGTGATTTCATTATGTTTGTATTGTCACGCAGTGTCTTTCTTAATCCTGTATAATTTCCACATTTACTTGTCTTGGCCTTTTTGGCAATTTTGCCTCTCAAGAGACAGGCGATGGCGTATCCTCAAACTCTAAGAAATTTTGTCACGCAATGTTCCAAAATCTTTGATGCACTTGAAGATGATTGCTTTGTCATTGTTTCCCATTGGAGCAAAATGGTTGGATCTTCCAATATTGCTTCCTTAAAAGGGGCAATCTGTAGTGATGTAGCTGTGATGTTTGTATTGTCTATGCGGCCACGAACAACATTCTCGCACATCACAATAATTCCATAAAATGTATCGCTGGGATACATATGGCCTCCCCGATGGAGAGCTGTGGTCCACGATGATGCTGTGCCTGTCGTCATGGTTGCAGTCTTTGCCAATGCAAGGATATTGTCACGGTCATAGTCCTTTATCTTCATAGTTTTGATTGTTCTCAGAAGATATCCTGTGATGTAATACAACACTTTCTTGTCCCCATTGCTCATGGCCTCTTTGCTATGGTTCTCCTCCTTGGCTCAAAGCTGTTGTGTTACCACCATTGAGAATTTCAAAATCTCACGAAGTAGGATTTGAATATATCTCCTTTGGATAGAGAATTCCTCAGATAAAGTCCCAACAAAATCTCTATCCAACTGAAGTTTGTGAAAATTGGAGAATAGCGCTTCTTGTCCTGCTTCGATCCCTGTCTCCAGTTTAAGGGATTTTAGTAGATTCCAGAATTTCTCCTTTGTGAGTCGATCCACTAATGCTATGTCCATGTTGCGGAAATGATCTTCTATTGTGACAGCCATTTGAGCATAGATGCTCTCCTTAGTTATAAAGTTCCACTGAGAATACATCCCACTCACTCGGGGGCAGTTTGCACTGTGAATGTTCTTGGGAGCCAGATACTTCCGACCTATAGTCCACTGGATGTATGTTTACAAGGTCATGCTTGTTCTGCATGTGGCCTCTCAAGCCTGAGATTGTCTTCAACTGCTTTCTACATTCAGGGCAAGTGTATATACAGTTCTTCCTATGATTAACGTTCTCTCACATTTTTTGATGCAGTGTGAGTGGATTCATGAATCGCCTCCTCGCTGGAATCGTCAGAATAATCAGAGCTAGAGGCTGTATAGTCTCCTAAGAGTTCGTCCAGATCAACATCGGAATCATCCCAATATACATAGTCACTTTTTGTTTTGTTTTTTTGACGTTTGAACATGGTTTTAGATGATTTTGGATGATTTTTTCGTAAAAAAAAGGTTTTAATGTCTTTGTTAATGTACAGTACAGATCTTGCACCACATCACACGCCGGTGCGCCGCGGCGCAGATCTTCGGTGCATCTACCGGTGCAACGGTGAAATCTGTCGGTGCATCGAAGGTTGCTCCGACCGGCGCATTTTGCTATTCGTTGCATCGATCGGTGCATGTTTATTACTTACCGATCATTAATAATTACATTTTGAAATCACGACGGCGGGAAAATCACTACTGCACAAATAAAATATATAATTTAATAGAGATTCGATATTTGAGAGATTTTTAGAAATACATTTCTAATAATTATATTCCAAATTCACTAGTAAACTGTACGTACATCGTACGTATCTGGATTTCGTTCATAATTGATTAATCTCAGATTCTGTTAATGCGTTCCTCTAAGTAAATGAAACAATCATCACATCGTGTTTATAAGTGTAATTCAAGGGCGTATAATCTAACATGTCTAATGCTACTCATTTCATGGTATTACTTTCCGATCATTTGATAAAATAAGATACAATCAACATGTGGAAATCACGGATGACGGGAAAAACAATATTGTATAAATAGAATAGATAGTAATAAAGTCATCACATCGTGTTCATTAGTGTTAATTCAAGGTTGGATAATGTTTTTATAATATGATGTTATAATTTTACATTTTATTTGTGTGTCTGAGTGAGGCTAAATTGAAAGTAAAACCTGTATAATCAGACGGGCAAATCACGATGAGGACAAATGATTATTTAAATTAGTAAAATAAGTCTGTACATGTAGATTGTTCGTTGAAGTTGGACCGTCGGTGACTTTTATTCCTACATTTCGTGTCCCTCTCAAACAAATAAGTCAAAGCCAAATATAGTTGAACTGTTTTCGGGATTATTATTCATTTGTTGTAATACAGATTGACTTATAGACTGATATTGTAATGGGTTGTGCTTGGGATTCACAGAATTATTCTATGATAGTCTCAGGATATATTGAAATGCGGATGTTTACATTAAAGATCTTGTTTTCAAACAAAAATATTGAAGTACTAAGATCGGATATTAGCGTACCCCAGTGGAAAAGAATCAAAAGATATTCCAATTTAACGCACTGCACAATAATTTGTCATTTTGGAAATTCGTCAATATGACCTTACCATTTTGATCTTAATAATTTAAATTTCAAACAAGCCCCCCCCCCGGAACTAGCCTTCCCGGTAAAGCCAATGCGACAGATATCTAAGGAAAGTTTCATTTTTATTCTTGATTTTCTCTGACTCGGAATAGTTGAAATGATAAACATAAATTGCAATTATTATTATTTTGCTCTTTCATTTTGCTCAGTCATGATCAACGCCTTCCTTAAATTTTCTGTCAGATCATCGATCCCAGACTTCAGCAAATATTCCAATCATATTTTGCGTTTTATCGTCTTTCCCAAAAGCTATACGAATATGGTACTACAACTACTTAATGACAGTGGTTTATCGTTATTTTTGCAAATATGGATGTTTACACTGCTTGAATCTTATTCTAGGAAGTTTTATAGAGACGGGACTTCCTTTTCACAATGCAATTATATCTGTTTTGTAGGTTCCCGTGGGTAAGATACACACAAGAACAATACGGCCCATCCAAAAGGGACAGATCCGTCAGTGGCGTTCTTCAAATTATAGCCCGTGGAGATATAGTTTATGAATCTTGCCTCAAGTGACGTGTTAAATCCCATATTGGGTTTGAGAAAGGGTATACACAGCCCGATACACAGTTGCTCGATACAAGTGCAAACTATAAAATAACCATAATATAACAATTATAGATAAATGTTTGGCATGCATTGTTTCTGTTTAATTGTTAAATTATTTGATAACTTATAATAAGCAGATAAGTTGCTTTTCAGGTATTAAGCGGCGATTAAGGACTGAAAACCAGCGTCACACTTTTCCTCGGATATTCCTCCATAAGCAGATATACCTGTTTGCATGTTTTAATTTTGATTTGATTTGATTGTTTGAATTAGATAAAGTCTTTAAAATGTTACCAGTGTTTGGAGGGGGGGGGGCTGAGATTTCATGTAGGAATTAAAATTAGAATATGATTTAAATACGATCTGTTTTGTTTGCATCGTTGTATAACGTTGATAAAACACAAAGGGCAGCATTGGAATTACAAAATTGTGCGATTCCCTACCTCCAAAAATTATTCAAAATTATATTTCTGTCATTCTGATTTCCGTGTCGGGACATTCTGATCTATTAGAGTCTCACTTTATCTAACGCTTTCGTATTCCAAAGGATTGTACCTGCCCGGGAGTACTTGCTGTATATCACGTCGGGAGATTAAACCCCCGGGATTAAACCAGTGAATGTTCCGATCGTCGCAACATTCGATACACCGAGAGATTTCCCAGATTCATACATGCATACTGTATATTCAGCAGGAATTTTACATACTTTATCATTCCGTTCTTAATATATCGTACAATATTTGTATTCTGTTTCACAGATTCCCCTTGAAATAGACTAGATGCGAGTAGAAATAATCTTGATTTATGTCATTAAATATTCAAAATTCAGTCAAAGTGATGTCATAATTTGAAATCTACATGAAAAAGTACATCTAAAAATACGGTTTCGAAAATTGTTTATCAAATTTGAAAATTACGACAACACGGGCAATATATGGCAGGTTAAATGAGTCGTCAAGATTATAACACGCCGGTCTTTATGTTATAGTTTATGAAAATTGCCTCAAGTACAATGTCAAAATCTCATGATGATTTCTTCCGACCTGTGTTCACTGACAAGAGAGGGGTGCGCAGTTGTTGAAGCGAGTATAAACTAAGAAAAATCCAAAGTCCGATAATTAATTAATTGGCATGGATCTGCTAATTGTTTTCGTTATTGTTACTTGTTCTATCTAGACGGTTTTATCTGCATCGAGATGGCTGATTATAAGGCATGGACATTTTTTCCAGTTGTGTTAATTGTTATTCCTTAATAAGCGGATTTATATGTTTGAAATATTTATTAATCCATTTTTCATTTTGATATACTTTTCAAAGGACTTTTTGTTCTATCTATGTGTTATGTTTATACTAATCTTTAACAGGAATTAGCTTACAAGGAATTCCATATAGCCTACAATTGATTTTAATTCATAAAGTTTGCTGATAATTGACTTAAGTATGGTAAAGCTCTCGAAGAGAGCATGTGCATGATCGCCAATAAAATTGCATTCTTTGTTTTGTTTAGACAGTTAGTTCAGAACTTTAGCCACGCGAAGTATACACGCAAACGCTTGTGTACTTTTGAAACATTAATTTGTAAGGCTTCAAAGTCATTTCCATCTCCTCCGGTGTTATTTCTGTGGTAGAGGTTTTTCAAAAATAATTTAAAACTTTTGAGACCTTTGGGGGTATAGGATATACGATCAAATCACATGTCCTTCTATTTTTAGTTTTTTTTCCTGAAGGATAAGAAAATAAAAATCAAACATAGAGAGGCAAAGACGTAAAAATGTGGGGAAGTTATTTAATTTATGCTTTTCTATGAATATAATTGCGACCTCCATGACATTTGACAAAGTCAGACCCCTAGTCAGAGAAGGGGGGGGGGGGGGTTCAAGAGCGCCTCTCTCCAAAATCTATTTAAAATCGTGCAGTTTTTCATCATTCTGAGCTTTTTTTAACTTAAGTGATGACCAATGTTGTTTAATGTGGACCCCCTGCCCCCATCACTCTGGAAGTGATCATGATACACTCAATCCACGGGTGGGTCTAAAGATGAAACCCTAGACGATCTCTGTAATCAAAGGCTAAGACGATATTTTCTATAATCAGAGTCCTAGACGACTTCTGCTGCAATCAGAGTCCTGGATGATGTTTAGACTTTTCTGTAATCAAACTTTTCTGTAATCAAACTTTTCTGTAATCAAACATCCGCAGAGCACGGAAATTGATGGATTAGTGAATGGTCTTTTGTTTGTTTTCTTAACTATTGTAAGGAATAAAATTAAGATTTAAATGTTCACCCCCCCTCCTCCGTTTAATTTCGATTTAAACAAAATCAAACGGGAATGATTATCTTACAAGGTACGCTGAGACTTAAGACAATAAAAGACGATAATTAACCTGATTGCATCCTGTGTCTTATTAGCGTCTGTTATTTATTACTGCTTGACCAGTACCAGACTGATTGCGTATTGATAATCAAACCGGTCGTGGGATGCAATGATATATCTAAATTTATCCCATGATACTACTTCCCGATGAATAACACCTTTGAATATTTTTGATTTTGAAAGAAAATCGTATTGTCCCGCCAAATCCCGCTCACGAAAATGATATACTCCCATTTGAAAATTAAGAGATTTTGAGACGTAAGGAGTATGAAGCCGCCTATTAAGAATAGTGTAATTGTAATTTCATGCTCTGACATAGCATACCAGTGTATTCCTTCAGTCATACAATATTGTAATACCTTGATGGATCAAGATGCTGATAAGACAGTTAAAGTCGTAGAAACCTTAGCAATAGCGAATGTGTTTGGTCCCT